AACGTAATTTCGAAATTCTTGAATTTCACAAAATATTTTACTCTCTCGGCGTCCCAGATCTGTACAAATTAACGCATACAAAATTTCTTTTATAAATAACTTAAAAAAAACTAAAAATTGTCATACAATAAACTGATAATATGAATAAAGGAATTATTCGTTAACATAATCTATCGATTTCTCTCAAATTAATTTTCAAACACGGAGCAATAATATAAATAATAAATTAAACATTTCATTAGAGTTTTAAATTGAAAGGCAAACGAAGTTTAAGTATATCCTATCGAAGGACGGTCGTGCAATATTTTAAAGCTCAAAAGTAATTTTATTCATTCATAAGTTTGGCACACGCACAGGAAGGGCACATGACTTCCCACGGATAAATTAATTGTCGATAAAAATGCAGGCGAGAGGATCGCGCAAACGCGTACGTGCGATCGTCCGTGACGGATGAAGTTAATTATTAACAGCTAATCCTGAAAATTCATGCGACAATCCTTGCGATCTCGCTTCTATCTGCTACTCGCCTTTACCGGCCCTTAATTAAATTACCGCGTCTCCTTCGACGTTGTCTCAAATATTACTTTCCTTGGTATCCCTTAGACAGAACGAGAGACCGGACGCATCATTCAATCAATCACTCCATTAATTTGTATAATTATTCACGTCTTTATACATCCTCTCTTTTCATTTTTTACTTGGCTTCTCACGCACTCAGGCATGCATTCTAATACGGAACAATTTAGAATTTATTTTATTGCGCGACGCAAGAGTGCTACAGGTAGATGTTTGTTTGCTTTGTGTGTGTGTGTGTGTGCGTGTGTGTGTGTGTGTGTGTGTGTGTGTGTGTGTGTGCGCGCGCGCGCGCGTGTGTGTCGCAATTAAGTGCACTCTTTACGTGCGTGTATCATGTGTGTGTATGTACATTATATGTATAATATATTTCTCCTTCTTCATACTTTTGTGTTCGTTATATAATATAATCTTTCTATACATATTTATATTATCTTCTCGTTAAAATCTTTTGTAACGGCAATCATGCCGTTAATTACAAAGTTTTATTACAGACAACAGCCTGTATGCATTCATCTCCCTCTTCCTTCCTAAATTTCACGAATATTTACATTGCGTTACGTTATCGTTAAAACTCGCGCGCGATAATCCCTAACTTTCTTTCTCATTTTTTTTGCCGGCACATTTGATTGCATCAATCAATCGTCCGCAATGTGACATAATCACAGAATGCGAACTATAACTTTATGTGATTCGGCCTTTTGATGTGTTATCTAATACAAAGTACCAAGGGGGCATTCAAATTTAAATTATAATTCAATGATCATAGATACAATAGATATAAAAAGAAATTCAGCAATGTAAATCATCATTATTATTTAACATAGTGTAGTTTTCGATCGGGTTATCATCGTTCCGGAAGCTTTCTTATTGCACCAGAAAAACACTTCTTTTAGCTACAAGCTAACCCACCCTCGAACATTTTATACAATAACGTCTTCACTAAAAGTAAATTTTTTTATCTTCTTTGAAAGCCTTACTCAATTCATATATACCAATATCGTCGAATATTAGTGTTTAAATAAAGAGATAATTACAAGTATTCAAGAGTGAATTATCCTGCAGTCAAAAGTTTTTTTTCTCGAAGAATACAAAAGTTGCCGGAACAATGGCATTGATGTGTTGAGAACTAGAGAGACTATGTTAAAAAATAGTTTGACTTACATCATGTTCCTTTTATTTTTTGTATAATTATGTATAATTGTTGAATTATAATTAAAATGTAAAGGCTCCTTGTATTTTAATGACATTATATATATTTATTCCGTCGATGACATTAAACCTAATGCAATAAATATTGTATTACGCTTTCCTAAAATACCTTAAAAGGTTCGCTAAGTTAATCGCAAAATATTTTATGAACAAAATAATATTATGAATAAAAATAAATCAATATGTTAAATATAGAAATATATGAAAAATTCTTTGTTCACTGCATTAAAATTGCCGTAGCTTCACAGATTTCTTCCCACAAAGTTATTTATAGTATTTCAAATATAACTCCACGATATTGGATTCATTATACAAAGTATTACAGGCTACTCTTAAGAATCACAATCTCAAAGAAAAATGAAAAAATATAATAAATAAGAGATACTTCTTATTCCTGATAAAGTTCTCGTGGCACTCAGGGAAAATTTCTTTCGCAAGTAGTAAAAGAAAGCGGACGATCGATCACTACAGCCGAGTAACGATAACGATAACGATAACGCCGTAATAAACAATCGAACAATATCTCGATTTAATTACCGCCTAAGAGTCCTCGCGATCGACTAAAGTCGGCCACGAAGCTTTGAAAGAACGAGGGCATCATCTTAAGTTAGAGTACAAAGGTACGTAGGTCCCTCCATTTTTACACTCTTTTGCGTAATCGCATCCTGATCACATCGCGTCAAACCGTTTTGCAAATAATGTTGGCTTCAAGTTACTCCCAATACAAAACAGAAACACAGGAATTCTGGTAAATCGATATTTATATCAATCTATTCATTTTCAAAATTTTTTAATATAACAAGATATATACTTAAAATCTTAAAAATCTAACAAATTTCTTAAAATCTAGATAAAAGAAAGATAATTAATCATTTAATAACTCTTAAGAAAGAGAAAAAAAAAATAAAATAAAAATTGTCTATATAAACGGTTTTTAAAAAATAAAATTATGACCTAAAATTACGTTCTTTTCTGTTGCAAGTATATAAGTTGTAAATATACATATATTAATTGAACTTTATATGTGCGCGCACGTGTAATAAGAAAGAAAATATATCAAGTTAATTGTATCTGTTTGCAAAGGGTGATAAAATTCCTAATGTAAAGTTTTCTTTTTCGATACTTTTTTTAATCATTTGCTTTTACACTGATCATTTGAAAGCAGTCTTAGTAAATTACGATGGTTATATCAATTTTATATTCAATCCGTGTTTTATATTTGCATTTTTGATATGTGTTTTGTCTCTTTTTCTCCTAACTTCGTATTGTCCTCAATTTGTGTCATCATAACTCTATTGACAAATAAATAACGATGAACTGCTGAAATTTTTAGCAAAAAGAATTTTATAAGAACTTTTTAACACACAACATAATTTTAAAAGTATACTGCAAAATTCTTTTTGTAGGCACTTTCCACAGTATATTTGTAAATCATGTATATATAGTATATTAACTTTTAAATTACTAAATTACTATTTCTTTTATTTAAAAAATAATTCAAGAAATAATAATATTTTATATAAAATATTATTTTTATAAAGATGTTTAAAAATTATTAATCTTAATTAATATTAACATTAATAAATTATTTTTAGAAATAATAAATGTCGAAATACAAACGCGTAATGTGTGCAATAAATATTTGATTGTATGTAATTTTATTCGAAAACATTTGAAATTGTAGAAGATTGATTATATATAGAAATGTCTGTAACAAAAATTATCGATTTCATTTAACTTTATATTAACAATTAATACAGATATTATATACACATAATTTCGCGTATAATAATTTATACAACGCACGTTAAAAATCATCAAATTTATAAAATCTGCTAAAACTAAATAGGTACTTGAGAGTTTCATTCTTTGAAAGCGCTTCGCGATAAAAATTCCGCGATACTCGTGATTAAAATAAAAAAGTTTTATTTTCTTAACACAATTCTAAATAATATAATTCTGAAACGGACATGTTTCGTATTTTGTCTCTGTTTACTGTTAAATATTGCCTGATTGTGAATCAAAATCGTACAATATAAAGATAATTACAAAGACAGGAAAAAAATCAATTTTAGAAGTAAATACAACCTGCAGTTTAACTGCGATTATTCATAATTTTCCTTTCCACAATTAATATAATAAGCATTAAAAGTAAAACTTATGTCAAACATAATAATATGTCATTATAGTAAGGCATTATAAGATGCATGGAACATGTATAAATGGAAGAGGAATGCCCATAAGATGAACTGAGAGATCCACGACCAATGGAAGTGAGAAAGAAAATCATATACCTCTCTCTCTTGTGAGTAGATTTTCGCAATTACGCATGCGCATTCGAAAATCCACTCACAAGAGAGAGAAGTATATGATTTACTTTCTCACTTTCATCGGACACGTTTTGGTTCCTCATTCCCCTTCCATTCATATATGTTCTAAGATAAGACGTAGGTATTCCAATCCACCATCTTAGTTCCAATTGGTTAAATATTTATTTTCCATTTTCACATAAATGATACTGAATCTAAGGTTATATGAGTATTTTTATATTCAGATAATGTCATTACTTGTTTACTTTGGCAGAAAGTTATCGAGCGTAAAAGTATAGGGTTTATACCTTACTTTTAATGTGAGTTAATAGACTCAGTAAAGCATATCGATTTCGAGCTTTATGCAGATTATAAGTAAAAACTCAGTTGAATCTCACTTATTAGAATAAAAAGGAACGTGCATTCAACTGATTTATAATGTTACAAATGAGAATTATCTGAGTTTTGGTGTAAATGAAAAGCAAGTAATGCGTGATGAGTTTATATATAGTACGTCTGACGAAGTAAATGTACATCAAGATGCTTTGTTGCGTTGCAGTAAATTGCAATAATAAAATAAAAAATTGTAATAATTAATAATTTCCAACCTTATTGCGGAGCAAACTTGGAAGTTACATTGTCGACTTAGCTGGAACTAAGATGGCGGATAGGAATAAAATCTTATAGTGCCTTACATTATAGCACAAGTGAATTTTTAATCTTGACGTAATCAATGAATCCTGTGAGTTATTCGATCAATCGTAACAAACGATACATCTCTCCTTTAAGAATCATTGAAAGAACATTATTTAAGGGACGGCCTGACGCGAAGTAACATGTTGCGAAACCACTCCCCTCCCCCCCCCATAAGGACTCGATCCCGCACGGATAAATCCCGTATAATTGCACGACCCTAATCGCAATCGCTCAGCCGCACCTGGATCACCCATTTTGCAAACTCGTCGCTGGCGGGATTTAATCAATTAATTCAGTTAATCGTCATAAACGCCGCGAACGAATTTCCGCAGGGAGAGCTACAATCGTTTTCCGCTTCCTGCAGAAATCCATCCGGCACGCAATCAGGTATTACGATTGCAACGAGGACGTCGCGTATAACACTAAACGTTTTTCCGTCAAACGGAAATCTGCGAATCGGCGCAAATTCTAACAGGGCTAACGATTGCAGAGGAGGAAGCGCACCGCGCGTTTCGGTCCTCGCGCTTCGATAGCAATCAATCCTCATCGCGCGTTGACGTAGATCCTCTCAGATTCTCTGCAGATCCCGTCGAATAACGAATGATTTCGTCCCATCCTCTCCGGGGAGGCGAATCAATCCGCTCGTGAAATCGCGGATCGGAATGCCGTTGAACCTGATGACGAATCTCCATTGTCGCGTGGCATCGATGCGAACGGCTCGTTTTCATTACTGAAATTAAAAGGCGCGAAAAGTTCATAGTTGCGCGATCGCGCAAATTCAAAATAACATCGAAAAACTGACATAAAAAATTACGCGACATTTTATAATATTACAATATCATAAAGGATTAAAGTTGACTTGCTTATTTGAAAAAAAAAACGGCTTTATTTTGCTTTAAGTGAAGTTTTTTTAAATCATGTTTTATCATTCTTTGTTATAATTTTGACAACATGTAACATCTTCAATTATTTATTAATTTAAGATATTTTGAAATTTTTTAACAAATATAAAAGAGGATATACATGTACATACATAAAGCGCAAACTATCAGATGACATTTCTTTCAAAAATCTATTATCAATTGCATATCTTAAAGGCAAATCTGTAGTTATCAAACGGTACATAATTAGCAAATGATACTTGCCTTACAAGTACTAATGATATTTGGCAAGTATCATTTATTTAATTATGTATCGTTTGATAACTACAGTTTTGCCTTTAAGATATGTAATTGATATTTGAAAGAAATGTCATCTGACAGTTTGCGCTTTATGTATCATGTAAAGATAAAAAGTGTTATTATAAAATCGAAAATATTATTGCACAATGTTATTGCGCAATGTGTTTGCAGAAATATCAATAAAAATAATCTTATATTCACATATATAATCCTTATATCGATATTGATAAAAGAGGCGATAAGTCAGCTTTTGTTTTTAGAACTTTGCGTTACCTGCGTCCTACCTGAGCGCGCCAACTTTAGATGATCTGATTAGTTAACTTTAAACACTTATAATTCAAAAACTAGTATAGCCTCATAATTTTGGTATTAGAACTTTTAAAATGATCTCAGGAATCCACCCTTAAGTGTTGATACGGGACACCCTGTATAATTCTCTGTAATCTATATGTAGGGGAGAGTTGCCGAATACGTACCACTTAGATCGGAAGAGCACA